TATGAGACAGGTGGTCCCAGGTGGTCTCAGTATGAGACAGGTGGTGTCAGTATGAGACAGGTGGTCTCAGTATGAGACAGGTGGTCCCAGTATGAGACAGGTGGTCCCAGTATGAGACAGGTGGTCTCAGAATGAGACAGGTGTTTGACCATGTGATCCAGAGTTTCACCTCGGTCTCTCTTTAGATTGTGGTCAAGCAGCTCTGAACAGCAGGATTGTTGGAGGACAGGTGGCTCCTGAAGGGAACTGGCCCTGGCAGGTCAGCCTCCAGACCACGTATCATTTCTGTGGAGGGTCTCTCATCAACAACCTGTGGGTGATGACTGCTGCTCACTGCAGGATCAGGTAGGCAAACACAGCAGAACTGATGAAGATCTGATGAAGAATCAACCAAATCAGATGTTCTTAGATTCAGGGGTAAAGAACAGAAGACTTCCTGCACACTTTCCAAGGGTGTGTGTGTGTGGGGGGGGGGGGTTTTGTTNAGTACAGACAGTCAGTGAACGTGACACAGACCTGTGAAGTACAGACAGTCAGTGAACGTGACACAGACCTGTGAAGTACAGACAGTCAGTGAATGTGACACAGATCTCAGTGGTGACAACAGAAACAGGTACAGGCTGTTCAGTATGTTTTATCACTGCAACAAAAAAGACAAAACTATGTTGTAAAAACGTTAAATTTCTTAGACAAAGCTGTAAAACCAGTCTGATGAGACACGGAGAGAAGGAACAGGCAGGCAAGACTCTACATCGGCTTTTCTCCTTCTGACAATAAAAAGGCCGTTTTACTAGTTGACTCTGAAATGTAATCTGCACAGCATTTCAGCTGCTGCCATCCAGCTCATTCCTCATCTGGACAGTAGAGAGGAACCGTGTGGAGGAGGAGGAGGGTGGGGGTGGGGGGGCTATGGTGAGAATAATGATGAGATGAAGCCTTTAGGCTCTCAGACTGGTCTATTTAGCTGGAGCCAGTGACATCCCGCTCAGACATGAGCTTTCAGAAATGAGGTGAGTTGTATTGAATCAGCAGAACTCAAGTTTGCAGCTGTGCCTCTTCATGCTCCGTCAAACTGCTGAGATCAGCTGTCGTTGTTGAGTTTGCATGTTCACAGCTTCCATCTGCTGCCAGAACCTTTCAGAACTGACTGTGACTGGCTGCAGTTTGGTATGATGAAAGCACTCACATGCTACTTTTTGCTTCAACCACTCGCTTCAACAAAACAAAACAAAAACCCCAAAACTAACTCCTGTACCTGGAGTCAGAGCGACAAAACCTCAGATTTAAAAAGACGTTTTGAACGGAGGAGTCCATGTTCAGTAAAGTGTGGAGCTTTAACTGCCACAGATTTGTGAACTAATAAGACTGGATCAGACTGTAGACTCCAGCAGGAAGGAACCCCATGCAGTCATGTGTCCCACAGTGGGCGGGGCTTCCCAGGAACTCAGACAGGTGTGAGTGAAAACAAACGTCCAACACCCACATGAGCACGCATCCACCCCTGAGAGGACAGAGATGAGACTAAAGTCCTCAGAGGACAGGGTTCTGGGGGCAGCAGTGTGGAGGACAGTGCAGCTGTTTCAGCAGAGGGTGCACGTGTCACAGTAGATGTTGTGACGTCAGATTAGTTGAGTGTTTCTGTCAAACAGCCTCCAGTTCTTGGTTAACGCTTTGTTTTGTTCAGTCAAATAAAAGTTGTCCATCATTCAGAGTTAGCACTGTTAGCGCTGTTAGTGCTGTTAGCGCTGTTAGCACTGTTAGCGCTGTTAGTGCTGTTAGCACTGTTAGCGCTGTTAGCACTGCTAGTGCTGTTAGCCAGGTTTGTGCTATTAGCACTGTTAGCGCTGCTAGTGCTGTTAGCCAGGTTTGTGCTATTAGCACTGTTAGCGCTGTTAGCACTACTAGTGCTGTTAGCCAGGTTTGTGCTATTAGCACTGTTAGCGCTGCTAGTGCTGTTAGCCAGGTTTGTGCTATTAGCATTGTTAGCGCTGTTAGCACTACTAGTGCTGTTAGCCAGGTTTGTGCTATTAGCACTGTTAGCGCTGTTAGCACTACTAGTGCTGTTAGCCAGGTTTGTGCTATTAGCACTGTTAGCGCTGTTAGCACTACTAGTGCTGTTAGCCAGGTTTGTGCTATTAGCACTGTTAGCGCTGTTAGTGCTGTTAGCCAGGTTTGTGCTATTAGCATTGTTAGCGCTGCTAGTGCT